GCCATTGCTTGGCCAATGTGCTCTCTGTGAAAGCTTGAGAGAATGTTTTCTCTCCATGTGACTCTCCTTAGGCACACTCTACATCATCAATCATTTATCTGCATTTTTTCAAAGTTCTTTGGTACAAAGGTGCTGCATGGATGAGCTCATTTCAGCTGTTTGCAGGCTCATAAAAACCAAGGGTATGACTATTAGAGTTATGCTCAACCTAATCAAAACAAGCACACTTGGCCTACTTCGGTGATTTTGATGCAGTCTTTTGTTTTGTTTTCCCCTTGAGTGATAGCAGATGTTACTGATAAGACCTTTTCCTGGAATATAAAAGTATGAGTCTAATGTAACAGTAAATTTGGCTTGTGTTTATTCTTAGCAAACCTAATAGTCCTTTATGTGCCACATCTTTTTGACATACAGTCCTAACTACACTATAAAGTGAGCAGATCTTTAGATACGAAGTGTCAGCATGGTCACGTGCTTAGGTCACTGCTTCTGTACTCACACTGGGTACTTTATGTTCTACTACATGCACATGAAATCCATTTCATTGAGCTCCTATCTGTGTCACTGCTCCTTTTTACCGGTACCACTAAAAGGGAGATAAGCTTTGCAAAAGTTTTGCACAATAATTTCGTATGTCTGTTTTTGTGATTTTCTAGGAACATAGCACAGAATAAATCTTGTTTCTTTGTTGGACTTTTTCAAATAAAGACAATATTTTAAAACTGCTTTTGCATTGATGCAGTAGTAATTGTTGTAGTAATTCCATTTTAATCTGTTTAGAAAGACTGTTAATCCTGCTTTCTGTGTACTGTTTAACTTGTGCTACCTCCTGTTGCTTTGTATTTGAGGAATCTAGTTTCTTTTGGACATAAATCAGGAAGACCTGGGGGCTGGGGAGATGCTCAGTGGAATAAGTGCTTCCCTGGCAAGCGCAAGGGCCTGAGTTCAAATCACGGTTCCACCAGGAAAAAAAAAAAAAAATCAGGAAGATCTTATTGCCCAAATATTAGAAATACCTAATTCAGGAACAAAATATAATTATCTGCATAGTTCCACAACAAGTAAACTAAATGACACTACAATTCTTTTAAACTAGCCAGGCACAGTGGTACACACCTATAATCCCAGCACTCAGGAGGCTGAGGCAGGAGGATTGGTACAAGTTTCAGGCCACACTTCACTATATAGCAAGTTCAAGACCAGCCAGGAATATATTAGTAAGACCTTGTCTGAAATTAAAAAAAAAACAGGGCTGGCCAGATAGCTAAGCGGACTCTCAGTGGCCAGACTCGCCAGGGTTCAATCCCCGGCTGTCATGCCAGCCCCACTCCCACCCGCGGGGGCGCACTGAGGAGGCAGTTAAGACTGGGCGTGGTGGTGCGTACCTGTAATCCCAGAGCTTGGGAGGCTGAAAACAGGAGAATCACTGTGAGTCTGATATCTGTGGTGAGACCCTGTAGACCCTCTACTAAATACGTTAAAAAATTAAATAATAAAAGCAAAAGAAAACAATTCTTTTTTCTTTTAATTTTTTTTTTTTTTTTTTTTTTTGGTGGAACCAGGGATTGAACTCAGGCTCTTGCACTTGCCAGGCAAGAACTTATGCTACTGAGCTATCTCCCCAGCCCCAGAAAACAATTCTTTTAAACCAAATTCTGTTTTAACAGAATAATACTCTCTTTACATGCTTCTACCCAAGTAACCCATTAAAAGTAGGATTTATTTCTGGTTAGCAGCTCTTTCTGCCTCTCATCTCGTAATAAACATAGGTGTTGTTAACTCATCATTTCTCACCAGTGCTTACTCAAAAAAAAATCTAAAGTTTTTTTCTTTCGTTTAAGCTCTTGAGACCTAAAGAAAATAAAACATTCTTCCACTCACATTATGACAGAATTGAATCAAAGTAGCACTATTCTTCCTCTTTGGAGAACCAGGTTAATTTGTAACTTGTAGTCCCATGTTAACCATACTTCTCTCAAAGCAAATTTCAAAGTTAAAGAGGCATGTCAGTTTATCTAGGCAGCATACAGGTTTATCTATGAATTTGTGCTTTCTAGTTAAGGTTTTGTAAAATACAGAATGTGGTGCTAAATTTTTAAATTTCTTTAAAATCTCAAACATAACATCTCTCTCATTGTCTAAAAGGAATAAAATATTAGTAAAAAACAATAGATGATAGAATCTCAGCATTAATATTTTTATCAAAAAGTTTTTTATGATTGTCAAGTTGGAAGACACTCAAAATACATACCTTCATTAACCAGAAATGCATTCCAGGAGCAAGGAAACATGGTATGGTAGCACACGTCACTACTGATCTGTTCTTTACTATAGAGAAATTGTGTAGCCAGTTTTAATCATCATCAGAGTTTCTGTTTCAAAATAGGGCAGACAGTAATTTTAGGAATAAGTTTTAAAATGCAAGTATAATGTATGTATTTTCTAATTCTGCTTTTAATGTATTATATAACATTTTGTTGACACAGTCTTTATCCTTTCAGTTCTGTTTTATTTGAAATTGGGAAACTTTGCAAAGAATTCTTTCATGAAGGCTTAAAGAAAATGAAAAACTCTGGGAATATGAAATATGTATTCACTTTATTTGCTTATTTAGGGTAGTTAATGATAGAGAAGAGGAAAAATTGCATTTAAATTTAAATATAAATTTAGTGTCACTGAATTTACAGCTCTTGTTAAGGAGGGAAGTTGGTGGGAAGCTCTGGTTTTAATCCCCAGCACTCCCCACATGCAAAAATGCACATGCACGATCAGGGGAGAAAATAAGAAACTGAAAGAATGTACTAGAAGGTGATTGTATATGTGTGTGTGTAAGTACTTGGATATATTAGCACTCTACTTAAAAGAATTTAGAACAGTAATATTAAAATCAAATGAGAGGTTTGTGTATCTTTAGTCTGTCTGTAGTGTTCATGATGAAAGAGGTATATAGTGAAATAAGGAAAGTTGTCACCTTTCTGTGGGCAAGTCTTTAACATATAGCACACTTTCTGATATCTCTGCATAGTCTTCAATATAGGAACAGTGGATTAAATTATTTCTTTTGTGTTCCTCTTAACTATAGTAATGCATGATTTTACACTTTAAGATATCATCTGTGTGTTTCATAGTAAAGGATAGTGTTTCACTTTTTTAAAAAGTTCTTATTTTGGTCACTTGATAGTGACTACAATCTGTGTTACTTGAGTGAAACATTTTCCTTCCCTGCACTTCTCCCTCTGTTAACCTGGAATGCAGACTGAGTTCTTCAACACTAGGTAAAACCTGATAACCTGAGCTTTCTCAGGGCACCATTTCTGAATAGCAGTTAACTGAATACCATTTTATTTGAGATGTTATAACACAACTGTTGGGTGTAGATTCTCATGGCTTTTTTTTTTTTTTTTTTTTCCAAGGTTGAAGAGGTGGTACAAAACCATATGACTTACTCATTGCAGGATGTAGGTGGAGATGCCAATTGGCAGTTGGTTGTAGAAGAAGGAGAAATGAAGGTAATCCCCATTGAAATGTTACATATTGCTAAGTGCAGCTTTATTTTTGTGATATTGTTATTACTGTCAATAAGAATGAAGATTACATTTTCAGATTACTTTAACATAAATTCTGAGAGGGCTGACCAAATAGCTCAGCACATTAAAGCACCTGCAAGCAGGCACAGAGGCCTGAAGTTCACTCCCTGGTGCTGCCCCCGAGGGCATGCTGAGATGGCAGTTGAGACTACTGGGTGTAATCCCAGCACTTGGGAGTCTGTGAACAGGAAAATCGCTTCAAGTCCGATCTAGTAATGAGACCGTGAATACCCTGTAGACCCTTTCCTAAAATGCAGAAAAAAATAAATAAATAAAAATAAGTTCTGAGCTTCCATGTGAGACTAAGACCCAAGACTTATGTGGATTCTTTGAACAATTCTCAGTAGGACTTTGATAATGTCATCCAAACAAGAAATGATGAGCCAGGAATAGTGGCACATACCTGTAATTCCAGTGCTTGGGAGGCTGCAAACAGGAAGATCAGTAGGAGTCCCATCAGTGTAATGAGACCCTGAAGACCCTGTACTAAATACATTAAAAAAAAAAAAAAAAAAAAAGGTGGGGAGAAAAATAAAATTAATCAAAATGATCCTGAAAATAAAAATAAATATAAGTAATTCTGAAAGAATTCAGTAAATGAAACCCTATATAACTTTGTGAAGATGGTTCAGAAATAAATCCCAGAAAAGACAGCAAAAACTTACGCAAGGAAGTATAAAAGGAGGGCGAAAGAGAGCCATTGTTGCACATAGTACAGTCTTTGTTTCCAAAGGAAAAGGAAAGATAGTAGACCAAGAGACCTCTAGAACTGTGAAATCTCTCAAGCTGTTGTACAACAAAAGGAAAAAACAAACTTGGTTCCATTCATAATAGCAAGGACACAGTGGTAGTAAAGTCGCTGACCAAGGTGCTGTGGAGGGAAATTCAGACAGTTGTGGTGAGATAGAAACGGTGAGGAGTCTAAAGGTGAAGTCACAGGTTTTAGAGCTTCATCTGGTGATAGAAATGAGGATTGGGAGATGGTAAACGTGACAGTGGCCCTAATCTTTTTTTTTTTTTTTTTTTTTTTGTGGAACCGGGGATTGAACTGAGGCCCTTGTGTTTTCCAGGCAAGCGCTTATCCCACTGAGCCATCTCCCTGGCCCAGTGGCCCTAATCTTGCAAGAGATAAGGAAATATAAAAACTAAAACAAAGATGATTTGGCAGATTTATTTCCAGAGGAACCTGGTCTTGAGCTTGAGCATGCTTGAACAGGATTTGATAAAGATGCTCCTTGGGCTGATGAGATTGCATGTTGAGTAACAGTTTGCAACATGGACTGGGTAGATTAAAGGGAAAAGATTTACTGACCCTGTTCAACACAGTTATGCCCAAAGAAGTGTTAATTTTCTGTAATGCTATATACCCTTCAGAGTTTGGAAAGGAGAAGGTGAAGGAAGAGCAAGTTCAAGGACATTAGAGGTACTAAGAATCCCTGCAGATGCTGCTGAAGAACATTGGACCTCTAGAGAAAAACTAAAGAGATTATCAGTTCAAATAACTGGAAGTACACTGTGCAGCAGTGGTCTGTGATTCTCCTGAAATAGCAAGTAAAATTTATGAGGATTGCGATGGCTAGAATTTGAAAGTAATTGTTCTTTCATAAAACTAAGGAGGTGGTGGGTCCAGCAGTGTAAATTCCAGAACAGTTCCCCCCTGCTGCAGTAGGGACATCAGCAGTGAGGTTGCTAGGGAGGAGACTGACTATGAAGGAGTCACAATATTCTACAGAAACTAAAAAGAAAAAAATGCTTGGACATGGATGTTGAAGCATATTTAGCTTCCTCTAATGGAGATGAAGAGAGAAGAGGAGATCCGTACATGGTAACGATGGAGTAAGTGAGGAGATGATGGGGAAACTGAAGTGAGAGGAGGGTGAACAGATTAGAGCTGCTAAATACAGTCAGCTTTTGCAGGTTATTCAAGAAAGAAAAAAAAGGCAAGCAAAATGATAAAAAAAAAAAGTGTTTCCAGCTCTTACAGAAAGTGCAGAAAAATTAATGAACTGGTCTTTTGGAAGCAGTTTTTAGAGACAAACAATAAAAAAAGTTGGAAAAGAAAAAGAAGGCTCTTTTTTTTTTAAACAATGAACACAGATGGAGAGGGTCCGGGTCCTCAGTAGAATAAGCGCTTGCCTGGCAAGTGCAAGGGCCCGAGTTCAATCCCTGGTTCTGACCAAAACAAACCAAAAAACAAAAAAAACCACAGATAGAGAAAATCCAGCAAAAATGTTGCTGCATAGTAGTAGCTCAGTGGTAAGGGTGAAAATATCCATCTGTGCAACATAGGTAGGTTCTCAGTCACAGAGGGCTCTTATGGGCCGGCCAGGTAGCTCAGTGGATGAAAGCACCTGCTTAGGCTGATGCAGAGACCAGGGTTTGATCCCAGGTGTGCCGTGCTGGCCCTGCCCCCAGGGCACACTGAGATGCCAATTGAGACTGGGCGTGGTAGTGCAGGTCTGTAAGCCCAGCACTTGGCAGGCTGAAAACAGGAGGATCACTACAAGTCTTATTTGTGTAGTGAGACCCTGTAGATCCTGTACTAAATACATTAAAAAAATAAAATGTTAAAAAAGAAACAGAAGGCTCTTGCTATAGCTTCCAGTAAAAATTAACTTCCTGTGATGTGGATTTGAATGGCCTGTCCTTTGCTGAAAAAGTTTTTAAAAACAGGTTTAAAGAAAACAAAAATCAATGAAATCTGGAAAAAAAAAAAAATAGTACATGTTCAGAGGAAGAAATTAAAATAGACCAAAAGCTGAAATGGCTTTGCTATGATGGATGAGGAAGAACACAGCAAGAATCTCTTCAATTCAGCAAGATTGTGGAGCACCAAAATCTTAGCAAAAAGAAACAGCTTATGATAGACATAGACATTAGCAAATGCTTTCGAAGTAAATGTTAGCCATGCATAATCTCAGGCAGTATATGCTTCTCACAGATCTTAATTTCAAGCAAAGAAGCTATGAAAGCTTGAGAAAGCCTGGCAAAGAGAACAGAGAGGTGAAGAACTTCCTCAGGTAGTAAAGAAAAAAGAAAGTACAAAGGCATCACAAAACAAGTCCATTGATCCTGCCAAGTCAGTGCTAGTTAAATTTATCAAAAACAACAGTTTGAAGCAAGAAAAAAGACTAGAGTCAAGCAACTATGTGTTGTTTCTTTTCAAAGTAAGAATGTGTTCTTCTCAAGTACATGGAGACAGCAGGAGGGAGTTTGGTAATAAAGCCAGCATTTCACCTGAAAAATCCTTTAGACCCTAGTACATTTTTTAATATGCATATACCTAATTGTAGATGGTTCATAGGTTTGTACTATGCATTTCCACAGCTTAATCACAATAAAAATGTAAGGGCTGGTGAGATAGCTCAGCAGACCTGTTTGGGCAAACACAGGGACCAGAGTTCAATCCCCAATACCACATGCCTTGCTGGCTCCATGGCACACACCTGTAACACCAGTACTGGGGAGGCTGAAAACAGGAAGATCACTACGAGTCTGAGCTGCATAGTGAGACCCTATACCGAATACATAAAATGAAAAAGAATAAAAATAAATAAATAAAAGCTACTACATACAATTGAAAAGCACCAGATACTGAGAAAGAAGCTATCTTTTTCTTTTCTTGTATTACTTTTACTGGCTTCTTTACAAAACCATTGTGTTTTGTCTCAGCCATGGAGAAAATGGAGTTTGGGGGTTAGCTGTAACAGCACAGTTAGCTGATGGCTATTTCCTTTTGTCTTATACTTTAATACCCTGAGTATTATACCCAGATGTCACTTTGCTTCTCTTCCTCTTTGGTCTGTACCTCACTCCTTGTCCTTTCTCTCAGTGAAATGATTTTCTTCTCTCTCATTTGATGTCTGGTTATCTAATATTGTTGCGATCCTTAAAATAGAAAAAATAGAGAATAAGAACAAGAGGTGGGAGATACAGAAACAGTGTTGAATTTTAGTTACCTCATGCCCAAAGCCCTATGCTAAAGATATATGGGTATTTAGTCAGACCACTCTAAGCTAAAATTTTACTTGAAAAAAGAGGATATTGACATTTTTAGAAGATGCTGTACTTGGTTCCATCTAGTCATGTAGTGAATGAAGAATGGACGTAAGTGCAGTATAAAATTAGCTAAGAGTATTCTGTGGTTTGAAGTAGTGTTTTACAGTGAGGAAAAACATTTGAACTCCATCTGGAAATGGAAACAAGTTTGTGACAAAGATGAGGTTGAGATCACTTAGACAACAAATGATAGCAGACATGTGAAAGCAAATTTTCTATTCAAGATTTTTTGCCTAGGCCATGTTGACCAAAATTATTTTTGGTAAATGGCATACATACTGATGCTGAGATTTTCTCTCTTCTTAGACAGAGAACACTTAACATGTAAGAAAGGCAAACAAATGAGCTACCAGAATGTTAGCTATAATTTGATAAGCTAACTGGCTTTAGGTCATTGTCACAAAAGCTTGCTAATGTGTCAGCCCAGAATTAAACATGATGCTGCCCGCATAGCTAGATAGTCATAGGTCCTTCCTGGGCATAAGATTCCAAAGCAGACCAAGAGGACACAAAGAAGACTGTCAGGTAAGCCTGCCTTTTTCCTCCTTGTGTATTCACCATTCAGTCAAATTGGGAATGAGAAAGTGAAGGAGTGAAGATGAACAAGGAATAATATGGTCTAGATTAAGTCTTATCCACCTGGATTGAGGTGTAGAAAAAAGTGTTTCTATGGGCCAAAATCATTAGAAAGAAACTGCAGCTAGATTATGGACAGCATAAAGCAGCCCACTAAGGAGCATAGCAGTAGGTTAGCTACTGCCTGCAAAGCATCATTTTAGGAAGATTAAATAGATAGGAAAGAAACTAAAGATCAAGGCCACCATTCCAGGAGTCAGGCACAAGGAAATGAAAGCCCACCTTGAACAGGTAAGCAAGGATGCAAAAGTCTGCTTTCTGGATGCCTTCAGAGATTCGGTGTAAGCTTAATCACTATGTGTAGTGGGAGGATGGAAATCGGAAGACTAGAACTTCCAGTTTGGGCCATTGTTAAACTGGTGGTTCCCATAATGTGAATAAAAAGCATTGTAATTTAGCAAGACAGACTGTGAAAGAGAAACTATGTGAAATGCCTGATTTTGTCTGGCTTCATAAATTGAAGGCACATTCACCCTGTGATAGCATCCTTGATTTCTTAAAAGAATTTATCACACAGTTCTATGAAATACAGAACTAAAATTTGGAAAAATAATTTTATTCAGCACTGATAGTATATAGCTTCAATATTTAAAGCATGTGTTTATAATCTCTTTGCCATTTTAGTTTTCCGTGTCTGATTCAACAAATATTGAGTGCCTACTGTGTTTCTAATTCTAATTCTGTTCTAAATAAAACCCTAGGGATTTAGCGTTGAACAAAGCAGCTTAAATTAGCATCCTTCATTCTTCTAGGCTTAATTTAACTTTTTGAGTATATTAAATAATTTTTTAGAATATTTGGTAAATAATAGCTAGTGTATTTATTGAAATTGTCCTACCAATTTGATTTAAAATTGTCTCATTGCTATTTGTTTATCAATAAAATTATGGGAAAAAATAGCTAGTGTAATACATTTATTTAGAATTTGTATTCCATTCACTATTATACATGTTTTTCATAGTTGACATTTACCTCTGATTTGTCTTTTGAGTACTTTTTGTAGCCAAGTATGGGGATTACCCAGCACTTGGGAGGCAGAATCAGGAGATAATGAGTTTGAATCCAGCTTGATATACACAGCAGGTTCAAGACCAGCCTGGGCTATATAGCAAGACCTTGTATGTTGAAAAGAAAATAATAAAAAGGAAAAATTTTTTTGTTGTCCATTAATTTGAAATTTTTCTCTGAGCAAAACTTACATTTTCATAAGTAAAAGAAAAAGCATGGGGCTAGGGAGATAGCTCAGTAGAGTAAGCACTTGCCTGGCAAGTGCAAGGTCCTGAGTTCAATCCCAGGTACCACAAAAAAAAAAAAAAAAAAAAAAAACCTATGTTCAAATATATACTTTAAAATTTGTACTTTAGGGCTTTGATTTTTCAAACAGCTAATTTTTTTTTTTTTTTTTTTTTTTTTTTTTTTTTTTTAGGTATACAGAAGAGAAGTAGAAGAAAATGGGATTGTTCTGGATCCTTTGAAAGCTACTCATTCAGTTAAAGGTGTTACAGGACATGAAGTCTGCAATTATTTTTGGAATGTTGATGTTCGAAATGACTGGGAAAGTAAGCTGTTATTAATACATTTTAATCTTTTACTGTTTTATATTTAATAGCAAACTCAACCTTGTTTTCTACATCTGATCTATACTTTACAAAGTTGACATAGGAAATATCCTGAGGATCATGTATCTTTGATTGATTGCAGTGTGGGGAATTGAACTTTTGGCCTTGTACATGCTTGAAATGGATACTACCTCTTGCCTACATCCTCAGCCCCATACATTTTGTTCAAAATGCTTGCCCGTGTACTATGTCTACTGTTTTGTTTCCATGTTTAAGTTCTAGATAAATCTTCCAGGGGTCAAAAGTTATTCTCAATGTATATTTCTCTTAGACAGCAAGTTTCATAAATGCAAATACTTCTGAACATCAGAAGATGTTTATTATTGGTAGTTTGGCATTCCTGTTTCACACATGCAAGCCCCTAAGTGGAACAAGTTTAACTTTACTAAACTAGGAAGAAGAATGAGCTGTTACATTTGGGATTTATTTGACCCTGAGTAATGTAGCAGTGATTAGAATTGCTTTCTTGCTGTAAAAGATGAATACTGGGCCAAACAAAGTGAGATTTCCATCCTGGTGATCTGACTTCACAGCCACCATCTGCAGAGTGAAAGTAGATCTGTAGCTCGGAGGTGAACTAGCTTCCATTTGCATTTAGCTTAGGTGGGGTGGAATCTTGTTCCTTTTTCCCATAAAGTGCAGTTGTAATTGACTTTCAACATAAATAACTTCAGCACTTTCTAGGAAAAGGCTGTGGTATCTTTGGCTCCTAATATTTTTGTCTTCATTTCAGCAACTGTAGAAAACTTTCATGTGGTGGAAACATTAGCTGATAATGCAATCATCGTTTATCAGACGCACAAGGTAAATAGTTTCATCATCTATCCAAAAGGTGCCAGTGTAATTCAGACTCTGACATAGAATAAAATTTGACAGGAATATAGATGATTGAAAGACTATTAATTCATGAATATTGTGTATTTGAAAATTTTGTCAGTTCATGTAGAGCAGAAAATTCTGGCAAGAATCTAAAATACAGTCTAAAAACAAGCGTTCAAGCTTCATATTCTTTATGCACAGTGTAAGTCTAGGAACAGCCTTCAGAAAACTGTTTACTACTCTATGTCTATGCTTTGTAGTTATTACATTATAGTTACCAGTTGTACTTCCTGTGACAGCAGTAATAAAGGTCAGGAAACATGTAGCATTAGCCTGTGTTGACACTAAGTGATATGAAAGTGATCTAAGTGAATTAACTCGCACCAAGGAAAGTTGCTGATCATAACCTCTGAGACATTGGTCCTAAACTAGAGCACACATACACTGTGACTTATGAACTATGCTTCATTTCACCAGGTAGGTACTCAAGAAATGTACAGTAGAAATTGTGTGATCCCAAAATTGGTTTTGGAATTAATATGAAATCTAAAATTTAATGTTAAACTATCTATTGATTGGGCCAGAGAGATAGCGCAGCAGCATAAGCACCTGCCTGGCAAGCACACGGTCCTGAGTTCAATCCCTGGTACCACAAAAAAAAAAAAAAGTATAAATTGATTGCCCTGTATTTGTAGTAAAGACAAATCATCAATAATTTAGAATCAAAAAAACTGTTACCTGAACATAATTGTTCTGGGAACACCCTGAATATATAAACAGTAGGTAAACAGTAGGTAGAGAAGAGATTTCAGTATTAGGTTTGAAAGCTAAAATTATTAAAATAACATGTCATATATAACAAAATTTAAGTTAAAATTACTTGCTGGTTCTTTAAATGAACAAATTGCTCTGGAATAATGTTTTCTACAAAATTAAATGATACTATACAGTATATTTCTGTTTAAATTTTACTTCTTTTATAATATCCTTAAGAAAGCTGCTTGTCTCCTGATGTTTAAGTCATTCTTATTGTAAGCCTTGTAGATATGTATTCATGATTCCTTTTTTTCCAAATTCAGGACCTTAGGTAGATAGACCAGTACTCTGCCACTCAGCTTCACCCTAGGCCTGGTTTGGTTTGGTTTGGGCAGAGTCTTGTTAAATTACCCTAGCTGGCCTCAAATTCATAATCTTCCTGCCTTGGTCAGCCGTGTCGCTGGGAGACAGGTGTGCCCCACCGTGTCTGGCTCCTTCTGTTTTTCCTTCATGATTGAGATAAGGTCCTGCTGTGCTCTCCAGCTGCCCTCACCCATCCGCACTCTCTTACACCTGGGCTGTGAGCATAGCACTGCACTAGTCCCTTCTCGAAGTGGAGTGGAGCCATTGCGTTTGTGTCACTTCACATGCGCTTGCCTAATACTGCTTTAATTTAAAAGATGAACCATTTTATTTTGCAAATGGTGTATTTGGTGGTGACATTGAGTTATTGGCTATTTATTGCACTCAGTAATCAAAAAACCTCATAATAAAGGCTAAGATCAGTTCCATGTGCCAGATGCCCACGTAAAAATGACTTTAAAAAGATAAAATTTTATTTTTATTATTTAAAAGAAGGTAGTCTCAGTTATCAGAGACCTAAGTTACATGTCTTTTCCACACGTTTTTCTGCATGTACTTTAATGTTGAAATGTTTCATCTAATGATTTTGAATTCTTTCCAATATGTTATAAGGAGTCTTTTAGTCTCTATAGAACATTACACTGTACTGTGAAGATGGGGAGCAGATCAGAGTTTCTGTTTGGGGTTAAGATGAATTTCAGAAATAGATATTAGTGATGGTCACATAGCATTGTAATATAATCAGTGCCACTGAGCTGAACATTAAAAAAATGGTTAAAATGGTAAATTTTCTGTAATTCAAAAGAAAAATTAGACTATTAGTCCTTTGATTCTGTTGTTCTGAAAGCCATTGGTAATGCATATTAATTAATCCTTTGGTATGTGTTATCTGATGCTTTCCGTGTGAAATTTGACAGTTTTTATCTTCAAAGACACTTAATTCGTTTTACACTTGTTTTGGTTTTGATCCTGTGTGACATTTGCATAAAAAGTAATTCAGATTTTCAGAAGTTTTAATTTTTCCACAGAGGGTATGGCCTGCTTCTCAACGAGATGTACTTTATCTTTCTGCTATTCGAAAGATACCAGCCTTGACTGAAAATGACCCTGAAACTTGGATAGTTTGCAATTTTTCTGTGGATCATGACAGTGCTCCTGTAAGTACAGTGTAAAGCTACATACACAGTACAGGGCAAAGCGGGTAAATACTCCCTTCCTCCAGACAAAGGTACTTGGTTTGATAATGTTTCTTGGTTTTTGCATCATGTTAGATTGATTGTAGAACATTGTTCTGCTCATGTATTGTCTGAGCCCAACAGTCAGGGCTGAGAACATCCCACCAGGGTTGTCTTCTGTTCGAGTTTTGGTCAGGTAGCTGAAAGGGTAGCTGGAATCTGTAAACTACTTACCGGTTACCTCTCAAGCTGTTATTAAGTACTCCAAAACTAGTTTCTGCTTTGATTTAGCTTCACTTAGAGGGATAATCCTGGTGTCAAATCAGTTTTGTAAGTTATTATTTATTGGTGCTTATAAAATTTTGTTGGATATCTTGATAAGAGCTATGGTTTTGATTAAACTAATATAGTATTAGGCCACTAGAAGTTACAAAATGGTGACTATCTGCTACACTGGTACACTTTTGTTTTTATTTGCTTTGGCAGCTAAACAACCGATGTGTTCGTGCCAAAATAAATGTTGCTATCATTTGTCAGACGTTGGTAAGCCCACCAGAGGGAAACCAGGAGATAAGCAGGGAAAACATTCTATGCAAGATTACCTATGTAGCTAATGGTATGTATGCTTTGTTTTGAAAATTTTGTCCAGATACCTTTTTAAATTTTTTATCCTTTAGAGAGAATTTGGAGAAATGTATATCAGAATTTGGGGAAGACTTCTAAAATACTCATTAATTTTAAAATTAATAGCCTTAACTTTACCTACCCTAAGACAGGTGCATGAAATTTCTGAAGCTGGGGCTGAAAGGGTGATTTTAAAACTTCGTCTCTGGGTCACTATCACATGTGTGTTTTAAGAACCATTCTGTTATATATTTGCTTGATAGAATGTATTTATAACTAAGAATAGAAACAACAGTAGAGAAATAAGTTTTTCTTTTGTTTTTGTCAGGCATTTAGTTTTTTGGATCACTGCTCTGAGTCCTCAGTAGCTGGTACTGTTGGACTCTTTTTCATCTGTTGGGTCCTTACTACACCCATTTGCATCTGCCTTGTCATTGCAGTTGCTTTAATCAAATACTCAGTTCTATAAAATTCTTAAAGAAGGTCCTCAAGATAGTTCAGCTGGGGGGGCCGGGGAAATGGCTCAGTAGACTAAGCGCTTGACTGGCAATAGCAAGGATCTGAGTTCAATCCCTGGTTCCGCAAAAAAAAAAAAAAAGATAGTTCAGCTGACTAAAATGCTTGCTTAGGCAAGCTCAGGGACCTGGGTTCATCCCCAGCACCACATGCCGTGCCAGCCCCACTCCCTGGGTGGGATGAGCTGGCCAGAGTCCGGGCATAATGGTGCATGCCTGTAATCCCAGCGCTGGGGAGGCTGAAAGCAGGAGGATCATGAGTCTAAGCCTCGTAGTGTTACCCTGTAACAACCAAATACAATAAAAAATAAATAAGTAAAATGCTTGAACAATGCTACCCAAGTAAGTTATTATTTAATTATATAGACATTGATGAATAAATCTAGCTTAACTAGCTTAGCATGTTGCTGTAGGAATATTTCACATCATTTAGGGAACCAGAAACATTTGTGAAAGATAATAAATGCTTAAAAAAAGATAATAAATGCTTTTTTATTTACTGTCTGATCACATCTGGTCAGTTATTGTTAAGGAATCAATAGTTGTAATTTTAAGGCATGCTAAGTATTCTGCTATGAGGAATTTTTAAAGGGCAAAGGAATAAATATAGAGCATTATATCTTAATATAATTAATTTTTCTTTATCTTACAGTAAATCCTGGAGGATGGGCACCAGCCTCAGTGTTAAGGGCAGTGGCAAAGCGAGAGTACCCCAAATTTCTAAAACGCTTCACTTTTTATGTGCAAGAAAAAACAGCAGGAAAACCTATTTTGTTCTAGTATTAACAGGTACTGGACACTGAATTCAGTTGTTGAAAGTAGTTGCTATTCTTTCATGCATGCTTCCAGATAATAGGATTGTAGTTTGTTGCCTTTAAAACTTCCTTCATTATTTTTTCCAACAAATAATATTTAATGAAATTCTACCAGGACAGAGCTATAGAATTTAAGAAGTTCAAATCCCCTGGGTTCTTTCCTTTTCCCAAAACCCACTGTTGTTCTTGGTGTGTATTCTTGCAGCCCTTTCAGTGCATACTGACATATTTTGAGTGTTTTAAAAAGTGTATTTATTCCATTTACTATTTTGCAACTTTTTTCACTTAGCAGTAATCTTTACTGTCTTCCAATATAAACTATAAAACTATCTCATCCCTTAAATATCTGCTATATGAATGTTGCAGAATTTATTGACCTGTCCCATAACACTTGAGTTGCTTCTATAGATTTACTGTCAACTAATGATAACACTGAGCATTGTTATGCAAAGAGATGGAATCTTTAGGTTTTTTAAGTGATACATTAACATGTTTCAGAACTTTAAAATGTATCCCCTCATTCACATATTTTGTCCACCAGTGTTTTATAATGTTTGTATATTACACCCATGAGAGCAGCACTTAGACTACAGCGTTGCCTTTTGTGCCTGTGACAAGACATGACACATGATTCACTCTTGGCCTGTCCAGGTTTTTTCAAATCAGAACTTTGGTTCAATTATTGACCACAGTTACCAACGCTAAGATTTTTGTCAAACTTCACTATTTGGGTAGTGGAAAATCTGACCGTAGAGCCATTTGACAACTGAGTTATCACTATAGATTGAACTTCTTTCTGATAGAGATCCAAATTCAGACTTTAACAAATAGTAAAAAATTTTGGTAACCCAAAACAGCGTTTTGTTTTGTTTTTTTCTTTTCACAGAAACTTTGAAAGATTACATGGTCAATGTGGATCCTCTCATTGAAACCCTAGGAAAGTTCGCACTCTTAATTGTGATGCAGGAGATACACTAACTTTTGATAGTGCATCTAGAGAAATTTTATAAAGAGTTAAGGAGGGCTGGCAAGATAGCTCAGTGGAGCCGGCCAGAGTCCAGGCATAGTTGCACACACCTGTAATCCCAGCGCTGGGGAGACTGAAAGCAGGAGGATCACCACAAGTCTGAGCTGCATAGGGAGACCCTGCAACAACCAAATACATTTTTTAAAAAAGTTAATGAGGTCTAAACATGTTTTAAATATGTCAGAACTTAGACAAGGGATCTGAGCTTGTTCGTTTATTGTGTAAGACAAACTTCTCTCCCACAGTTTGAGTAAATTTCTTAAGTTCTTGATTAATGGTATTATATAGTATGGTTTTATTGATGATTAAAAAGAAAATACCAGTTGATGGGATTAAAAAACCAGAGATTTCTGGTTATACATTGTTCTTTTGATTTTTTTTTCTTATTTTCAAAATACTTCTTTATAATTTATCTTCCTTTCTTAGGGAATACACTTCAGGTATATGTAGTTAATAATTTTAACGCTAAATAATTTTACATTTCTAAAGATGAAAAGTCCTTAAAAGAATTTCAGTAGACCATTTGTCCATTTGTATACTCCATGGGTGGGAAGACCCCATGGTAGTCTTGCAGCTGATCATGTTAAGCTGAGGTTTTCACTTGTCTTCTTTTCTGCAGTGACTGAAGCAAGGCTGTGTGACATTCCATGTTGGAGAAAAAAGAAAAAGTTAAATGCCCTAAGCTGGAACATAGGATCTACAGCCTTGTGACTCGACACCCTGGGCTTGTGTACAAAAATGAAGAGCTACTGCAGTAGTAAAGCTGAGCACCTAACACTAGCTGTCTCCCAGTAGATCTCCCGCTCAGCATGTGCTGTAGATACATGTACCACTACATGTGTGTGGCTATGTTTTTATTTGCTTGCTCCTAGAAGAGGAAAAAAATCAACACTCACTCTCAGCTAGGAATTGATGCTTTAATTTTGGGGAACTTTTTCAAAATTTTTAATTTACTGTGATTCATTCTAAGACCCTCCATGCTATCAGGTTTTGTGCACAAAAGCAAAGCACAAAAGGTGGGATGCACATTTTCTGTGTGCCAGTGTCCAGATGGGGCTTTCTTCAGGTCTACGGGCAGCCTGTGTCCAGAATTTTTTTACTTTTTTGCTTTGTATAATCATAGAATTTATTGCTGCTGATTTCTATAACAATTCATGTTGTGTAAGTGTCTTAATGACTGAGGGCTGTCAGTAACCTGTGCTTTTACCTTTTCTGTCATCTTACTCCTATGAAGAACCTTGGTTCTGATGGAGAAAGAGTGAAAAGCTTTACCTCCCCGGATATCTTTATATTTCCATTGTATTTTTTAGTTGTATATTGTGTTCTACAGACTTCTTGTTGTTGTCATAAACACAGTTGATAATTCTTAAATTGGCTCTGCCTGCCTCTAGACAGAAACATCTATACAGATTCTGTGGGTATTGAATGCTTTCTGGTAATATGGTCACAATAAAATGAGCTTATGTTTTTCTGAAATTGATAACAAAATACACAGTATACTTGTTCAGGTAAATAGGCCTGTTTGAATTCGACATTTGATTCAATGTATGTATCTAGTATTCTGTAACACATATTTGCTTACCCTAGTTTGGGTCCATTTAAAAGATACATTGCAAGGTATACACAGAAAATCTGAGCAGTTGCTCCTATTTGCCTCTTGATCACAGATTTCAACAGCCCAGAAAAGGACTCCACTTATTCCAGCTTTCCTTAGTCGCTGTAAGAACTCAACATGTAAAATGTCTTTTTTAGTTTTAGTCCTCTGAAAAACTTTGAAGCATGGAGTTGAGGCAAGGAATGGTACTCACTGAAGTCAAAATGACTGCCCACTTCAAATCTTCATTGTGTGTACACACCAGTGTATTTATATAAGACAGAGGCATTTTGTAGATGCTTTGCTGACTAATTCATCTCTTTGGAAACACAGAAATCAGACCCATTTTGTAAACAGAAAATCATGTCACATAAAACATGTCCTATATATGTTCCATTTGGCTACATGGCAATGGAGTCTTAAAGATGAATGCAAGGTGATAATTTAATGATGGGATTAGCCTGATCACTTAGTAATGCAGAATCCTGGAAGTGAATTACTTGCATCAGATGTAGTGATATTTATTATTCTGTACAGAGAGAAAATATGTAGAAAGCATACACTTACTTTACATGCACGTGGATTTCATGCTCCATAAATCTTTTCTATTTTTTAATTTACCTTTCTCTAAATGATGTGCATGGAATATGCCTTATTACAGAGAAATGCTATTCATAATCTGACTATGTGGAAAAGTGCCTACATGGTGGTGATGCTAAACTAACAAGGCAAATAAGACAAATTATCATACCAGTTTACTACTTCACCAGTTAACATTTTATATTGTGATGTTTGGAAAAAAAAAAAAAGTTTATACCTCAAATGTGTATTTTATTTTACAGTCAGCTGTGGGATTGGGCTGGGACAATGGGAGGGCTTGGGAGGGCAGTTCATTCACTCATAGGGGTGAAGGGAATCTTCAGGATAAGTCTCTGCACCCACTGTGTATCTGTTTGCCATGTCTGGTAACATCGTGAAAAAAAAAGACAAGTTACTCTTTCATAACTAAATTGGATAACTATATTTTACAAAGGTTTAGAAAGTTTACAAAGCAGTATCAAAATCTAACTATCATTAGTTGCATTTGCACTAAATGTGATGATATACTTTTTGCAATTTATTCTGTAAATAAGATGATTACATTAAAAATATTTGTATAAAAAAGAATGAAAAGATAAATGTTACCTTTAGCTAACTATACTGGTACTTTATGGGAGTTAATTCTGCCTGCCCAATCAGATTTAGAAGTGAGTTCAGGAGAGTGGAAAGGTTTGAGAAGAGGTGAAATTGGAAAGGTACTGGCCTTAGTATTTCAACCCGCTAGGGTTATTTTCATTTGGCTAATTCCTGTATACTGAATATTCATTTTCTCATCCACAGATAATTGTCTTCCCCCAAGCACAAAGAAAAGAAAAATTACCCTTTTACTCTGTCTCCTACTCAGTCACTTCTTCATGCTGTGTTGGTAACCTGAAAAATATTGGTGATCAGTGCTTTTGTCCCTGAATGTTAATTGAGCAGGACAAGAGAGCATTTTCACTTGGAATTCAGGATTGGATTGGCAGTGGAGGAGGAGCAGCAGTTAGTTTGAAATTGTAGCATGAGCCAGACCCAGGACAGGAAGGAGGGAAAGGGGTAACAAAAATGAAGAATGAATTGCCCATTTGTTCAGTTTCATCAGCTAATTGTACACCTGTACATCAGTGTCAGTTGCTATTCAGAAAATTTTAGTTGGGCCAAGCTGGCTCTCCTGTGAAGTTATGCTGGTTGTCTCTAAGCTTATCGGTTGTTTGTCCAATTAAAAACACTTCACCAGTATTTAGTCTGGGTTGTACTGATGGTGTATTTGGCTTTTGTCATTGTTTATCTGCAGACTCAAAACATCATTTTAAAGTACCTTGGGAGTGTGTATAATAGCTTTATGATTCTGTTTTTTAAAAAAAAAAATAATAAAGTTGGATCTTCCATGTTACAATCAAAAAATTTAAACCAGTATTTAAAAGTGGAAAAGTATTAAAATATTATGGACAAATGTACTTGCTTGACTTGTTTTCCTTAACTCCAGGATGGTAGCCTACATGATTCTCTATGTAATTACAATCTTATTCCTGTTTTCTTTGCCTTTTTGTGTTCTAGGCATTGGTCCCAGGGCCTCATGCATGCCAGACAAGTGCTCTACCACAGAGCAACATCTCTAGCCCTTTTCATTTTGAGACAAAATCTTGCTAAATTGCCCAGCCTAGCCTCAAACTGTTCTTTCTTTCTTTTTTTTTTTTTTTTTTTTTTCCTTTTTCTTTTGGTGGGAGGGTTATTTATTTATGTATTTAGTACAGGGTCTCACTACATAGATTGGACTTGTAGTGATCATTCCTGTTTTTCTGCCTCCCAAGAACTGGGATTACAGGTGCGCCACCATACCCAGTCTCATTCACCGGCTCAGCGCACCCAGAGGCAGGGCTCTACTGCCTCAGCCTGCTTAGTAGCTGGGATTACAGGTATGTGCCAGCACAACGTACATCCTTTAAAAACAACAGGATATGTAGTGGGGTACAATTTAAAATTTTATTTCTATGGAACATTTCAGAAGGTTCAGATTGCTAGAGTGAAGCATGTACTGGGCATTTCAAAAATGAAAGCACAAACCCAGTGAATCATAGGCATTTAATTTGTAACTCAACTGCATGAACTGGACCACCCATAATTCCTGATTTATGTAAATAACATGGTCGGCTCCACTTTTTGTGGGTTTTATGACCTGAACAACACTCACTAGGGAGATGTGGATTTCGAGTCACTCAGCGAGGTCCATCCAGGGCTGTGTTGAAAGACCTGCAGCACGTTTCTTTTCCTAGTGATCATAGATGGTCCAAATGAACTGTAAATACAAGCCAGCAGCTTAGTCCAGAATGCCACAGGGACCCTCTGGCTATCATGGGGCACTTGAGAAATGAATGTATGATTCTCCTTGTGAGTTTTTCAAGAGCAGTTTTAACAGATTCTGCAAATAGGTGTATTCCAATTTTCAGTTGGGTTGTTCCTGTAGCATATTCTAAGTTTTCTAGCCATTTTTGGAGCTTGGTTACATGACTCTCACTTGTGTACACTAAAGCAAATTTTATGTTACTCTTCTACGTCTATATTTTGAACAGCCTTACATAAAGTTAAGTTACTTTGATCTTTTAATTCTTTTTCTGTTCCACAGAATTGTTTCAGCTTAGTACTAGAATAAAATTATAAAACTCAAAAGATCTTCGAAGCTGTGAAGAGATGCTCAGTCAGAATTTTCCCGACACAGGCCTTTATGAAGTGCTAAATGAGGATGTCTCCTGTAGTGCTACTCTGGAAGACTTCATATCTTCTCTTACCTCTGGAATAGTAGAGTTAGCAGAGCCCCCCATATTTTACAGACAAAACAGGCCAGGGTTTTAGATGTACTGTTTCTCCATTCTGCTACTTTTTAACATCTGCTTAATATGGAGAGTATAGCTCAGTCCCTAGTAAACTAGAAGAGCTAACATCCTTGGAGAGTTAAAATAATTATGATATGGGCCTGCGTACATCTCAGTACTGGCTTCTCAGAATCCCAAATACTTTACGTTTCTTAGCAGGTCCCTTCAAATACAGGGAAGTCAGCAAATGCAAACTTTGACTACCATTTGATGCCCTCCTGTATTCCAGCTTAGAGGGATGAGACAGGGAACTTAGGAAACAGCACAATGAAGCACAAGAGCGAGCAGCATCTTACCTCACTTTTCAACCCATGGGTGAGTCCCAGTACCGCTGTCCCTGTTTTGTTAGCTGCCTACCGCAAAATGACAATGTAAATCAAAGCAAGCTTTGGGCTCTCCAAGGCAGTTTTCTGTAGTTGTTCTGTTGCTGTTAGAGTTGGGAGCTGCTGGTAGCTAGGTCCAAGCGGCAGAGAATCTACATGGCAAGAGCCAAGGTTAGTCCAAGTGAGTACTCGAAATTAGAGGGGGTTTTGTTTTTCTTCCTAGTGGTGGTGGGGATCAAACCCAGGCAGGGAAGGGCTCTGCTGTTGAGCCTCAAGGTCAACAGCAATATTTAGTGCCTACTCTATGCCAGGTAAGGTGCCAGGATTGGGATACAGTAATAAACATTTTGTTATAGCCAAGCTTTTTAGAAATATACCCAAATTAAGAGGAAATTGGCTTTGAAATCAGTATTTGAATAAAGTACCCAGAGTTAAGCCACTTTGTGAAGATTTACTAAATTTTTTTTTTAATTCTACATTCTAAAAAAATAATGGGTTATCATTTAGTTTTAACAAGTCCACCGGGCTGGGGAGATGGCTCAGTGGAATAAGCGCTTCCCTGGCAAGCTCAAGGGCCTGAGTTTGATCCCCGGTTCCACCAAAAAAAAAAAAAAAAAAAGAAACAAGTCCACCAACCTCTGCACATTGTTAGCATCAAATTAATGATCTTGGAGGAGAGGGACTGAGAATGGAGTCGCGGGCCGCAGACCTCCTGAGTACTTCAGCACTGAGCTGCACCCTGGCTCCTAGCACCCATTCCTTCTAAAGCTATCATGTAATTTGTGGTCAGCAACTGACTTATTTCATTCCCACCAGCCAGTAGATCTGGTGTTTCTTAGTAAATTTCCAAAAGTGCTGGGTTACCATCTAGGGATAACACTGAAGGTTTTCTGGCTTTCCCCCAACATCTTTGATCTTGAGTAGATCATTTGTTTAGGGAAGAGGAAGATGATGTATTTTAAGACGCTTTGAGAAAGTATCACAGAAAATAAAACAGGAACCACCCGTGAGGGATGGACTGGAGTTATGGGAAGAAGAAATGGGGGAAAGAATGGAAGAAGGGTGGTTCCATGTGGATCAATGTGATAATTTTTGGAAATTCACAGTGATTCCCATTTATATAATTATGCAAATCTAAGTTGTAATGGCAACTACAAATATGTGCTAGGTACTAGTTTTTTAGTGCACCTAAACTCAGGTGTGCAAGTATTCAAATAGTGTTTGAGGTGCAAAGTGGTAGTGAGAAGAAGGGACAGATGGAACTGGAGGGCAAAAGGATTGTTCATTTCAGTGCAAAGGTACAGATTTGAAAACAGGATAAATGGTTCCAGAATGACATGCTACATACAAAAAGAGGAGATCCATTACCAACTTTTCTTGTGGTCTCTAGCACTACAGAAGTGGTTTCCCAGCCAGAGAACATGGTAATGAGCCAGGCTCCCAGAGGAGGCAGGTGCTGTGAGCACCCACAGGGGCGTGGGGTGCAAAGGGTTCCTTAGCTGTGCGACTGCTGAGGAGAGATGATGCAGAGGGAGACCTGGCGAGGCCCTTCCACTGAGAATCTGGCACTCCGGGGAAGGTCCTAAAGCAGGGGTGGTGAACCTTTAGAGCTTTCAGCAATACAAATGGGGCATGGCAGCAGACATGCCACAGGTCACCACTGCCCTAGACAGCTCCCCAACTTAGGTGTCCATAAGATACCTATGTTTCAACCACTATAAAAAGCCCTCTTTCTGTTTCTGGATTACAGAATGACTCAGTGCAGATACATACACATGAGACAAGAATAAATAGGGTATTCTATTCTAGATTAGACCTTAAGGCTAGGGAGATAGCTCAGTGGCATAAGCACCTCCCTGGCAAGTACTAGGTGCCCAACTTCAATCCCCCTACCATAAAAAAACAACAGATTGGACCATAAAAGCCCTGATCTATGTGCTCATTTTACAGTCAGGAAACAGGACAAATAGCTATGAGGTAAATAATGTAAGGTTCCCGCCAGCTCGTAGCAGAGCAAGTGTTAGAATGGAGGCCTCTGGATTCTCAGCTCTACCACAGCCTTTCTCTTCCTGTAAATGATTTATTTTCTCTTTGCAGTAAATGTTTATTAGCCATTCAACAAGCATGAAACATGTATAAATGTCTGGCTTTTTTTTTTAATAAGACCTCAGCCTAGAGGATAACAAGGTTTACCACAAATTCTGGGGAAAAACGTGTAACTTCTGTATATGTACATGTAATTCATCAAGAGACACTTATCAGAGATGTGTGTGCACCATTTTTCTGAGTTGCACAAAAGACGTGGGTTCTGACTAAGCCTGGCCCTGGCAAGTTTCAAGTAAACTGTCTTCCAAGAGTTTGCTGTTTAAACCTTGAGGTATCCAGGTAGGAGCAGCAAACCAGTAATGCACTTTGGCTTGGGGAGAGAATGTTCAGATCTGCCAAAGGAGCAGTGGCCCAGGTGGGGCCCACACACGTATGTTCTGCAGTGAAGAAGAGCAAGAGCTCTGACAGGTTCTGCCCCAGGTGAGGAGACAGCACTGCAGGACTTGCACCCCAAACTTGGTGGCTCCCACAGGAGCCAAGTGAGGCCTCGGCCCAAGTCTAGAGTGACAGGGCAGGAAGACACACGCTCCTATGGGCTCTTCTGGGCTGAGCACCGGATTCTCCCATCATGCATTAGCACCAATAAAGTAGATCTGCCTTGTCCGAAGTTTCCGATTTATGTGTATACAGCCAGGATTGTTCCCTTCACTCCCCCACTGTGCCCCAACAATCCTCTGCATCCCTGCTCACCTTTGCAACTTACAAGCAGCAGGGAAGCAGTCATGCCTTAAACCACACGGGCTCTGTGTCTGCAGGCCTTTCCACTTGAATTACTACCTGGTGCTTTCTTACCAAGTTCCTTGGACAGTGTACAAATTGCCTGCCTTAAGGCTTGTGGATAAATGGCTCAAAGCCCATTTTTACAGCTGGCTTCAGACCTGTCATGCTTTTAATGGGTTTCCTGTTCCAGTGAAAGTTGCAGTAAAAAGAAGTGGCTTTGGGGCCACAGGGCAGGTGTGGTGAGGACAGGGTGGACAGTGGCCCTGTCAGCATTGAGCACATCAGATTCACATGCACCCCTTTACCCTCTGTTTCATGGGAAGAAAACAGTAACTGAAAGGAGTTTGGGGCAGTCGTTCCATAGGCTGGAGATATGAGACCACCTACAAGGTGTACAGGGATTGGGGGTGGGGGAGTCACCAAGACCAAGTAACATCTCATCTGTTGGGTGTTACACCTCTCTAGGATTCATTGACTGTTTTTCCTCCTCACTCACGAGCATTTGTTTTCTCCATTTTCCAACACTGTGCTTTCGAAAGAACAATTTTTTAACTCCCAGTGTAACTCTCAGTTGTACTAACCTCACACAAATTCAAGCTCCTTAGATGTGGTAGCAGCACCAGCAAAGTTGTCAGAGCTGCCAAAGTCTAGGCCTCAGCCTAGACAGAGTCAGACACCCTGGGGCCACATACACCGTGTAAAGGGGTTGCCCAAGTGAGTCTGACACCCACTCAAGTTTAAAGCACTGGACCAGACAGCACTCCTGCACGGCCCCCAACTCCAGCTGTGAGCCCAGCTTTGTTAGCAACTGTGAAGCTTGAACTGACACCAACTTGAGAATACTCAGCAACCTCTTAAACTTGCTCAGATGCAAAGGGGAGGATGTTCCATGATACTGCAATGACAGTGCCACCTGTTCATCTTAAAACAGAACTGCAAACCACCATTTGCTGTCTTCCCCTGGGTTCCAGCATAAAGGGTGCCCATTCATTAATAAGTGCTAGCTTTGTGCAGCACAGGAGCAGTTAAGAGAAGCGATAGCCGTTAGGTCTCTACACTTCTACACTGAACATAAGCCCTTCCTTCACCTCCAGTGAATCGATCTTGGGTGTGCTTTGCTAGTTTGTCCTCTGAGCTGTTTGCTGTGAAAGTCCTGAGGATTTCACTCTGTATCCTCTCCTACAAGGAAGACCCTGTTGTACTTTAAAAGGGACTGTCCCCTCTTAGCCCCCAGGTCACATACCTACTGGGAGTGGTAGGACCAGTAGGGCCTAAGGGACATCTGGTCACATTGGTCATGCTCTAGAAGGGACTTGGGGACCCAGTTTCTTCCTGTTTCCGATTCCTAGCCAGATGAACAGGTGGCCACCAGCACACAAGCCCAGCTGGATGGATGCACTGCCACAGACCCAAACCAATGGGGCCGTGGGCCACGGGCCAACCCTCCAAAACTAAGCCCAAAGGTTTTTCTGTTTTTTCAGATGTCCACTTTCCTGCAATGTGCATCTCATTGCCAAAGTCACCCATGCAGGACGTAGGGGGTAAAGTCCTTCATTTTTTTGTCTATACTGCTTTGTTCAGGAGAGGATGACCACACAGTGGATCACTCAGGTTATGTCAAGAAAAAAAGCTAAATGGAATTCTAGAACCCAGGTCCTGGCTGTAGTGCTCAAGCTCGCTTTTTCACCTCTACAGCAAGTGCAGCCGACAGTTGCAAACCCTGAAGTCAGCTTTCCTGACAAGTCCAACCTCAGCTGTAGGAAGCTGTACAAATTTCCTTCCAGTTCAGCTGAGGCAGCTTACCCACACTCCCAAGGCTACCTCTTAACTCCTCCCACCCTTGAAACACAGCAGCCTGATGGGATGCTAAACCTAATCAAATCCTCTAAGAAAGGTAATTCTAAAGCCCATCCAGCACCAGCCTGCCATTAGCATCGTAGTTAAATCACTGTGTGACCCTTGGCATGAATTACAGTCAGCTATGCTGACTCTGAAAACTTCCCGGCCTCAGGCCTAGGGTTAAGCCAAACAAAAAAGGCTAAGGCTTACGCTTTAAATATTAACTTCCTTTTCATTATTTACTGGAACTGGAACAAAGTACTCTATAACAAAGTATACAATTTAGTAATTGTACAAAACATTAATTTGGTAAGAGGGTATTGGTTACAGTCACCAAAAATGAATACTACATACTTTTCATTGCCGCTGCCATGAAAAGCTCAAGTAAGAAGTCACTAGCTGAAAAGTCACAAGAGGAGTTTAAACTTTATATACAGCAGAAAAGGTCACTGTTTACAATAATACTGCAGACAGAATCGCTCAGGCTCCCAGGGTGCCCACAGGACTGGAATGTTTTTCAGAGTCCATCTTCTACATGAGACATCAGCTACCCAAGACCAACACTTGAAGCATTTGATGGAATAATACAAAATAAGGAGTTCTTTATTATTTATACAAAACTTGTACATTAAAAACAAATTAGGATTCATTGACTGCTGACCCCCTGAGAAAGAGCTCTATGGATCTGCCGAAGAGCCCCTGTGTTGCTTCAGTCACCAACCTCCTGGCCCCGGGACAAGGCACCCAGCTCCAGGGCCATTCACGGGCTCTGACTTCCTTTCAAGAGGCCTCGTGAGGCCAGGGCTTCCTGGACAGAACTAAAGAACAAGATCTTCTCCGGCCCGAGCTAGTGTTTATCAATATACAAGTTGACTTTCTTTACTTCTTGAACACTTTCAGTAAGCTCCTAGCATAAGAAGCTTTATTATAATATATACAGATCTGATAGTTCTCTAAAAAACTACCAATATTTTTCAACTAAATAAATTAAAATGTCTTCAAAGAAATTAAAAGTTGGCTTAGCAAAATGATATCTTCCTTCCAAAAGTGTTTCCACACTCTTGATTTCAGACTTGCAGGTGCTACACTTCCGGTTGCTCTGTGGAAGCAGAGATCTGCCATCTTCAGCGAAGAGCACGGAACTCTTAGAAGCTAACACTGAAATTCACGCTATTGCCAATCTAGACAAACATTTATATTCAGACAGGAGGCCTCTGAACAAATAGCCTACAGTGAGGAATGCAGTGATTTGTCTTCTTGATAAAGTACTACTGAACACTGCTCAGCATATTATTCTGTAGTTTGAGAATAAAATTCTTCCCTTGAAGAAGCAGGTCCTCTCTGAAGAATGTTAGTATCCCCAAGTCGAAACAGACCAGCACCAAATGAATTATGAGTTTACAAAAAATAAACCTGGCTCTTACAAAGTTTCTATAACTCAGACTAAATTAACTATAAAATCAGGAGTTGTCAGCTACAATATAATTTTAAAAATCCATTTTTAACCCGTCAGAGGCAAAAATCTCACAATAATCACATGAAAACTTCATCATTTCATTAAAAGAAAACATCTTTTCCCCAGCTTGTATTTGCTTTCAGAAGTGCACCACAGGTTACCCTCCGGGCTGCTTCAGTGTGGCGTCCACACTGCATGTTCCCACCGAACGCGGCAGGGAAAGTGCGGGCTGTGTTCAGGACGCAGGCATGGGGTGGAAAGCCCTCCTACTTCTCTGAAAAGCCAAATGCAAGCAGTTGTCTCATTGATTACCTCTATTCATCTTCCACGAGACATAAGATTTTTAATTCAGATTTTGTTAGTCCTTTAGAACCCAATGCCCACATTGATAGTCCAGAACTATTAGGCTGTTCAAGATGCTTTCTTGGTGCATGTTCCTTGGAGGTCTTGCAAATTAATCTTTGACCTACAGTCAAAAAAACACAAGTAGTAATTACAAAAGAACAGAAATATAAAATTTTAATATGGGAGTACTGTATCTGAATATCAAATTTTCATACTGCAGTTCCTTAAGTACAGAGAAACACGTGTAAGTCTGACCTGTTGTGAATCATGTGACTTCTGACGAGATGTCCTGCTGCCAACGCTGCCATCAGTGACAGTTCCCCAGCCAGGACTGTACCGCACACTATTCGGGCAAGCTGCCGGGCATTCTCCCCAGGATTGTCTACACATGCTCCTTGGACACCTAGCATCTATTATCAGAGAGACAAGGATCCACCCTTCACATCAAGAGCAGTAATTACACAAATCAAGGCAACTACAATGCAACAGACTACAGCTCCACTGGAAGTGACAACTTCCAAGACTTGCCAGCCAGGACTGACAATTCATACACCACAGCTAGCAGTGCCTTTTTGGCTCTCTTTATCTATGCTCGATGCATCAAGCACAGGCCCGAATAAGCTATGCTTAGGTGGACATGCTAGGTCAGGCTGGTAAGAAGCAAGAGCAGCGTAAGAGCACCGTCTCCTGAGAGAGAATGGACCTCACTGGGCTGTGCGAGTCAGTCCTACCTGCAGACAGGCTTGCTGAGGTAAGAGGTTGGTCCCGCCACCCACGGTTCCTATTTCTAAAGATGGCATGGTGCAACTGATGTACAAATCTTCATTTGTTGGACCACTAGCTTCCATTAAAGTAATGCAGTTTGAACTTCCAACGTTCTGTGCTGCATCCTAGGATGGAAAAATACCAATATAGATAAGACATCACACACACACACACACACACACACACACACACACACACACACACAGAGAGATAAGACCTCCTTAGAAACAGGCGGGAGAGCTCACCTGTCCACAGGCAATGTAGATAGCTGTGACGATGTTGGCTGCATGGGCATTGTAGCCCCCGATACTCCCAGCCATGGCAGAGCCCACCAGATTCTTATTAATGTTCACATCGATCATCGCTTCTGTAGATGTCTTTAATACCTACAAAACAGTTGTAGACATCTTATATCTTCCTCTAGGAGACTCAGGAGAGTGCTACCCACATCAGCTTTCTGTGCCTCTGTTAGATGTGGCTCCCCGCAAGCCCTATCCTCAGCAATAAGAGTGTCAGCGAAGTCTGCTCCTGGGAATGCCACATGAAGATGAACATGGCATCTTCAATGAAAATAGAACTCCATTAATGCAACTTTTTAAAGATGTTAAGACTCCTTCCTCTAATTTGTTTAGCCCAGGGAAAAAGTGCAAAATTTCAAAGCTAAGATACTCATCCAGTCACTTACTTCTCTGACAACCTTGGCTGGAATGACAGCTTCACAAACAACAGTCTTTCCTCTTCCTTCGATCCAGTTTATGGCAGCAGGTTTCTTGTCGGTACAATAGTTGCCACTCACTGCTAGAATCTGCATCTCAGGGAAATACTCCTGAAGTTTTGAAAGTGCTTTCTCAGTGCCCTACGGACAAGCCAAACGGGGAAATGTATTAGAAGACACGAAGCATAGATCACAGGTTTTACATGTACTGATGAAATATTTCTAAATACAACTATATTTCAGAGAAGCACAGCACAATAATGGCTATCCTTTTAACCATTCTAGTGACTTAACTTTCCAGGTATGGATTCCTGATGTATTATGTCTAGGTATGAAAACCAAGTTACTTTTAGTCATTGATAAACAAGGTGTAAGACAAAAATTCATTAAAATGCTCAATAAGAATATAAGAAGTGCTCGTATTCATATGTTGTGGCACAGTTACTCAACCTTCCAGCTATTAAACTGTTATTTGGAAGTCCAGGTTACTAAATTGGTAAAGTAAAACAAGTGACTAAAGTCATCTTATTAATGGAAGATCATTTATATTACATAAAATAAAAGAAGCCTCCCAATGAACTAACTGAACTAACAACCCATACTTCAATAATTTGAAATCTATCTACTGGAATTTAAAACTATATATATACATATATACATATATATATGTGTGTGTGTATATATATATATATGTTTTTTGTTTTTTTTTTGTATTTTTGTATTTTTTTAGGGAAGGGTCTACTAGAGCTCACTACTAGATCGGACTCATAGTGATCTGTCTGCTTATAGCCTCCAAAGAGCTGGGATTACAGGCACGCACCACCATGCTGTCTCAACTGCCATCTCAGTGCACCCCGGGGGTGGGGCCAGCACAGCAGCCCCAGGGATTGAACCCCTGATCCCTGCACCTGCTTGCAGGTGCTTTAATCTGCTATTTGGCCAGCCCCAAAACAATTTTTTTTGGTGGGGGGGCAGAACTGGGGATTGAACTCAGACCCTTGCGCTTTGCCAGGGAAGCGTTTATTCTACTGAGCCATCTCCCCAGCCCCTCTAAAACAATTTTTAATGGTCATAAGATGTAACATCTTAGTCAGTTCTAAGTGGAAAGTGGTAAGTAAATCTGTGCAACTTATTTCTAGAGCTCTTTGGATCTTGCAAACCTGAAATTCCACAACCCATTAAACAACACCTCATGCCCTTCTCCCCATGCCCCTGGGAGCCAACATTCTATTTCCTGTCTATGATGCTGACTGCTCTAGCTAGCTCATATAAGGAGAATGGGAAGCATCTTTGGGTGAGGGGCTTACTTCACTTACCTGCACGAGGTTCATTCATTTTGTAGCATACTCAGAATTCCCTTCCTTTTACAGGCTAGTATTTTGTTACTTACATCCAGCTCATTTCATTTGTCCAAGTGCATATCCATCAACGGACACTTAAGTTTACTACTGGGACAAATGCTACTGTAGGTAGGAGTGTACAAACACCCCATCAAGATCCTGTTCTCTAATTCCCAGAAACAGAACTGCTGGAACATAGGGCAAATTGATTTTTTGGTTGCTGAGGAATTGTTATAATGTTTATAGGCTATTTTTAAAACCTACAAATGAGCAACTCTTCTTTTCCTTTGTGAATGATTCTTATAAACACACAAAATAAACTGTAGCCTAACCAGATGATTTCAACATTTCATATTTGCTTCTAATAAATAACAAATAACAATATAAGCTATATACAAACTCCTTAGGAAATGATTAAAGTAAGTAGACACAAACTACACATATTTGTTTTCTTTCTTTTTTTTTTTGGTGGAACCAGGGATTGAACTCAGGTCCTCGGCACTTGCCAGGCCAAGTGCTTATTCCACTGAGCTATCTCCCCAGCCCCATATTTGTTTTCTTAAACACAAGTCTTTAAGTTCCTAGAGGAGGTCAGGCTCAATGGTTATTACTGCAGTTTTGATTTTCTTTTTTTGGCCTTTGGAAGATGCTGGAGGTTGAACCCAGGGCCATAAACACACACTCTCACCCCACCCCTGAGGTACACCTCCAGCACCACCCTGCTATTCTATGGGAAATTTTATTTCACAGTTTTGAGGTATTAACCCAAGACTCTCCCTAGCTTGTCTGAACAGACTTAAAATATGTACAAGTCCAAGTCTTCATCAAATATATATAACCAACAACAATTAACCAATGTCTGACTTATGTAAGATAAGTGACATCAACATTTCACTTTCAGTATATTACTTAAACTGACTGAGTAGGTAACATACATACATAATACATCACTAAGTGCAGACAGACTTACATGGAAAACCCATTGCTACTCCTGCCTCCTAGCCACCCAGTCCCTCTTCCCACCTCTGTGTCTATCCCTGAACCTTTTCAGACACGCTGCCTCCATGCCCACCTTTGAAATCATGTTCATCCCCATGGCATCCCCCGTCCTAGACTGGAAACGGATATAAAGGTTGCGCCCAGCCATACTGATGTGCAGTTTCTGTAGACGTGCAAACCTGTAAACAAAAGATTTTATTTTAGTCTTTTAAGAGGGGAGTAATCTTAGACTCTAATTCAGTACTTCATATCATGCTTCTGAGAAAGCTTATCAAAATTACCACTTTCTTCTTTCATGAAACAATATGAGAGATACTTTTCAACCCTAGCTAACTCTTAAATGCTGAGGACAAGTGGGCTGTATACAGGCACCTCTTGGGAAACTTAGAAGTCCAAATGAAAACAAACACACTAGCTTGAGTTATCCAAGATTATCATCTACAGTGATCACACTTCTTTCCAAGGCTAATCTTCTACATTCAAAGGAAACCTGTTACACTAATGCTTCTATCCTGCTTAGGAAGTCTTTTCTCCTAAGATGGTTCTCTCCAAGGACAAAGTGGCAACACCTTAAATGTATTACCTCACATTTTGTACCGATTTATCTCTAGGAGGGCACTGATTTGAATCAACATCCCCTAAACAAGCATAAATATCGCTCATAACTTCTAGCAATCAACCACAGAAAGTAACACTGGTTTTGAAATAAATGTGAATGTACAAATAAACCCACTCACATACCTGCTGGTGCTATCGAAGGCCTCTTTTATCACTGCAAATCCTTCCGGGGTTTCAAGCCAAGCCTTCACTTCTGCAGAGTCACAGGCACGGGGAAGACGCACCACTGGGCCACGGGTCATCCCGTCTGCAAGGACTCGGCTAGTGGCTCCTCCTCCGAGCTATGTGGATCATCACAGAAACACTTATTAATCCTGAAAATGTTTCTACTGGCCCCCAAAGCTGTCCTTTCTCATATCCAAATCTGTTCTGGCTGCCCTGATACAGGTTTATTTTTGAACTGGGGAAAAAACTACAACTTACACTGATTGCTCTGCAGCCTCTATTAGTGCTGGCCACAAGACAGCCTTCAGTTGTTGCCATCGGAACTTGAAATTCTTTTCCATCCAAGCACAGAGGTCCTGCCACTCCAACAGGGATGGGCATGTATCCGATGACATTCTCACAGCAAGCTCCCATCACCTATAAGATCAGGTGGACAGCAGATGAAAATCTACCAGAGATGCACAGCAACTCATCTCAGCTTCTGTCACTAATAACTTGCTCCTAACTTAACCCACTGGTACAGTGATCAGTAAAAATACTAATTTACTTTTTAAGTGTTTCAAATACTGAAGTCTTTTAGTAATGACTCTAAAAATATTTCAACTTCTAAGGCCCACATCCTAAGTCCAATAAAACTGTACATATAAAACCACTAGTCAAGAAAAAAAAAAAGAAGACTAGAAAGCAAACTTGGTCTAATACAGACAATAACATACCAAGGAGTAATTATAATCCCTATAGGGTAAATACTGGAGCGAGGAAGGCTCTGGAAGCTTTTTGGAAAGTAGCTGTCGGCGAATAGACACACCCCGTTCATGGGTTTCCATCAGAGTCTCCAGTTTGTAAGCTGGGATGTGCTTTGCATGAACCAACTGGATGATCTCAGCATCACTGAGGAACTTTGCACCTTTCTAAGGAATGGAAAGAAGACAGAGGTGATGAGGGACCGGGCTTTGTGTCACTTGTCACGCTGAATGAACATACATAATTCTTGTCTATTATAAATATTCCTGAAAAATAATCAATCATTCAATAAGAATAATACCAAATGAAAATACTATAAAAACTATCACAGTTGCCAGGAAGGTAGCTCAACAGTGTAAGCTCAGACTGTTAAAAAGTTTTATCTTAAATTTCTGAACAGGTATTCACAATGAAAAAACTAAAAATAAAAAAAGAAAGTCTTCCTTCTAACCAAGGTTATCATCTGTCCAGTTCTTTTTTTTTTCTGTCCAGTTCTTTACTATCCCTTTCCTCACTACCTTCAGTTATGGAGGATGACTAAGGCCTGGAGCTCTAACAGTGTCAACAGTTACTGCATGTAGTGCAAACTAGAAACCTGCAAGGAGGTAATCTTCCTGTTCTCAAAGGGAGGAAAGAGTAACAACGGGGTAACAAATATATTGATTAGCTTAGCTGTGGCTATTACTGACAACATATAGGGATATCAAAATAATCAATATACACAGTCTTGTCAGGTATACCTTGATAAAGTTAAGGGAAAAGGGTATCTTGCGAAGAAATATATGTAAAGAATTTTTTTCAGCCAAACAGATGGCTTGGTGATAGAGCACTTGCCTAGCACATGTGAGACCCTGAGTTCCATCCCCAGTACTGCAGTAAGTAAATAACTAATTATTGGGAAATTACTTAGTCCTCTAGAGCCTGGGTTTCTCATCTGAAAAATGGAGACAATGCCACCAGCCTCCTACGTGGCAGGGAACACAGAGGACCTGTGTAACAGTGCCTAGAACTCGGCAGCATTCAGTAGTTTTTCCTTCCTTTATGAAAATGAACAAGTGTTCTCTGCAAAAACAATTCCAAGCCCGAGTCCACATGACCTTCTGTACCTCTGCATTCCCAAGTATCTGCAAACATTCTTCAGCAGGCCGAGGCTCCTTTGGAAGCAGAATTTCAGGCTCCTGTGCCACCAGGTCTGATGGAGGGTCAGGCAAGGAGGAGCCACCAACAACAAATGTAGCTCTGTTCGAGGTGTCTGTTTCAAACACTAAGGGCTTAATAACTTCAACTGCTGAAGAGAGCAAAAGAAATCCCGTAATGCTGGAGACCCTCCACTTTATGACAAATTGCCAATAAAAAAGTGAAAAGGAGTAAGATAGTACCTTTTCTTTCTTGGTTTACCGCTGTTTCTTCTTCCACTAACTGGCATTTCTGGTTGTTTCTGACAAGTGTAGGTTCACGTCTACAACAACTGTCAGGGGCCTTCTTTTGGGTCACCACAGGAGATGTGATAGGGTTTTTTAATGAAAGTGTAGACTCTGTCTCCGCTTGTTCAAAGAAAATGTACTTGACAGCCAGAAGAAGAGCTAAACTTAGGGTAATAACCTGTTCAATATCCATGCTGATCATTCTAAATAAAAGAAAACAAATTAATGTTATGATCCAGCACTATAACAGGAACTACCAAATCTAGTCGCATAGAGCAATGTGATTAATATGCAACACCGTAGGTTTCAGTTAACTTACTTGGAGAGATAAAACTGCCAAAGGGAAACACTTGGTTCAATTCTCTTGGGCACATTTTCATCCAGTCCCAAAGAAACCTTAGACTGTTCTGCAGTACTGTTCTGAGGTGAAGGATCAGCTATCCAGCGACTGTGAGCGTGAACAAGGACTAAGCCTAAGGACTGAAATAAAACGGAGCAATTATGTATCCTCTGCCTCAGTTATGTATTCTGAAAGCCTAAACTCATCCCTAACAATTAGTCACACACACTCTTCCATGGCCTCCCCTTGTCACAAGAAAGCCCACAGGCTCTGCATGTGACTTAAGTTGTGACCCCATTACTGTGGAAACTTCCCAAACAACAGGTTTCAAAGACAGGAGGAACCTAAAAAATTAGTTTAGGGTAGGACGACTAATAATGACCAGGACACTTAAAGAAGTAAAGAACCAAGTTAAGAAAAGGCAAGAAGACAATGGGATATCATTGAAAGAGGTAGAATTTCATATATACAAAAATAGGAAGCAAAAAAAAAAAAGAAAAACCCCAAATTATAAGAAACAATGACATTTAGATCAAGGACACTGAAGGGAGAAAAAGAACCTATGCCATTACCATAATCATCTTGACCCTCTGAGTGACAGGATTTGGTTTATTTTCTTCTTCCTCTAGCACCCGGGCAAAGTGGCTGAGCTGCCAAATGGGACGACCCTCACGGCTTTCCCGAGAGAGCTGCAAAAAATGTCAGAGTCACATTAGAAGGCACTCATTTGTTTGGGTGAACTGATAGAACGATATATATTCTTCTACCAATTCTGCAAGTAAGAATTGTTCTCACCTCCAATACCAAGGACACACAAGCTGGGAAGAAGGTCATGAACACGAAGTAGTTGGCAAGAACCGACATGCAGCCAAAGCAGCACATGATTTCAAGCTGACGGACCCCTAGGTGGAGAAAAACGCAATATGTAACTGGAAATGCATGTGGATTTTTTTTTTTTTTTTTTTAATGTATTTGGTACAGGGTCTCACTATGCAGCTCGTACTCAGAGTGATCCTGTCTCAGCCTCCCCAGAGATGGGATTACAGGTGTGCGTTACCATGCCCGGGGTGGGGCCACGGCGGCATGTGGTGCTGGGCATCAAACCCTGGTCCCCTGTGCTTGCCTAAGTAGACCTGTGCATTTTTTAAGCTGCATGTAGCACAAGGACTTCCTGCTGGTGAACAAACACATGAAAATACCGCTACTCAAGCTCTGTGCCATCTACAGGCAACAAGATTAGCTCAAAGCTGAGGCCAAGGCCTACAGAGCAGTGAAAGTAAACATGCAACTCTCGGTCCCTCATGGAAACACACCTAACTTCACATCTTCCAGTACCACCTCAACTGTTTGCAATTCGCTTTAGTCAAATGCAAGTATCTTATTTGCAGACAGTAATGCCGGAAACTATGTATTCTCCTGAAACTAGGAACGCCTTGTCCTCCAATTCATACTGCTGACTTATCTTACTTTTACCACAAAAGCACTTCAGCTTTGAATCAAGGACTTTACAGAACTTATTGCCAGTTATCCCATTCCTGACACAGTACCAACATAAATATTTCATGTATACCACTAAATTCTAACTTCCATATAATCTCCATAAGGCCTCATGATATTCTTATATAATTTTGGTTACTTCACTGATCTGTTTGAAAGGATGACAGAAGACAAAATCAAGATTGAAAATTAACAAACGTTTCACTACCAAATATCTACAATATTATTTGGTAAATTCAAATAGAAAGTAAAAATTAGACAGCAGAAAAAAAGACTTAGGGCCGGCCAGAGAGCTCAGCAGATTAAAGCACCTGCCTAAGCAGACGCAGAGACCGAGGTTCAATCCCCAGTGTGCTATGCTGGCCCTGGCCCTGCCCCCGGGGCATGCTGACACTGCAATTGAGAATGGACGTGGTGGCGCACACCTTTAATCCCAGCGCTTGGGAGGCTGAAAACAGGAGAATCACTAGGACTCTACTCTGTAATAAGACTCTGCAGACCCTGTACTAAATTTAAAAAAAGAAAGACTTTATGGGAGTCTATTTTACATGTCACTCAAAATTAAAATACTTTGCAATATAAATAAAAATGATTCCTTATTCCAATTAAAACTGCTAATAGAAAAGCCAGTATTAAAAGCAAAGTATATTTTATTTTCTAATTATAAGAGACAATTTCACCAAACAGAACAAAAGCACTCATTACTACCTTTTTAAAATTCCATGTCACTCTCAAATGCAGAAATTTGAGACTACAAAATTATAATGAAAGCATTATCAACCAAGACATGACCACACACCTTTCAAACTCAAGGTTATCAAAACCGCCCTTGCCCAATGTGTTACAACTTGACTGTCTACCATCTCTCTCCATCCAACAGGGACACAGCGGGGGCGCATGCACTCAAGAGCCTTCCTTCCCTACTCTGTTGTCATGCACACTCTCATCTCTGCACCAGTTCCTGCACAAAGCCAGAGCACTGATTTGAGCTTCAAAACAACCAACTGGCTTCTCTCTTTCTCAAGGCCTCGCATGACTCAGCTCAACCTGGCATTTTTCCTTCACAGTGGCTTTTCTCCAGGGTCACTACCAGGGCTGAGTACAGTCCAGTGGGGAGATGCGTCTTTGCCATGTATAAGGTCCTCTGGGTTTTCTGAGTTTACATGTGTTCAATCTGTCCTGTGCCAAATTTCTAATTTCTGTGTAGTTGCCAAGATCTCTAGCAAATCGATTATTTCCTTTGTCCATCTCTTGGCCCATATGTGGCACAATTCATCACCCTATGACTTCCTGCCATGACTGAAATGAATAAACTTCAGTTTCATGGACTGCTGTGACTTCCTACCTAATCATCACCTTCTCATATATTCTTTTGCTTGAAGAAAATGGCATAGGCATGCTTTCACTTCTTAGCTGCCATGGTGTTACATGCCTATAATGCCAGAACTCTGGGAGGCTGAGGCAGGAAGACTGCAAGTTTGAGCTGAACCTGGGTAACTCAACAAGACTCTTATCTCAAAATAAAAGGCTGAGGCCGGAGAGATGGCTCAGTGGAATAAGCACTTCCCTGGCAAGCACAAGGGCCTGAGTTCAATTCCCGGTTCCACAAAAAAAAAAAAAAAAAATCAAAACAAAAGGCCACGGATGCAGCTAAGTGTGAAAGCTCTGGGTTCAACATGCAGTAAACAAACGCAAAAAAATATGTTTTAAAAAAAGTGAATTCTGGGGCTGGGGAGATAGCTCAGCAGTCTAAGCACCTGCCAGGCAAGTACAAGGACCAGGGTTCGATTCCTTACACCATGCTGGCACAGGTCTGTAATCCCAGCGCTAGGGAGGCTAAGACAGGAGGATTACTACAAGACTGAGCTGCATAGCAAGACCCTGTACCAAATAAATAAATAAATAAATAAATGATTAAAAATAAAATTAAAAAGTGAATTTTAAGTTATGCAAATTCTTTTGCCTTTTTAAAAAATAATTTTTTTTTTTTTGAATCCTGGAAACTGAACCTTTGTGTTCTACCAGTCAACCATACCTCAGCACCAGGTATGTGCATTTCTAAAGTAAATTCAAAGTATTTTTTTCTCTCTTTTTTGTTTTTTTAAGACACCGTCTCACTGTGTAGTTAAGACCAAACTTGAACTCAAGATATAGCCCAGCCTGGCCTCAACTTCACAGCAACCCTCCTGCCTCAGCCTTTCAAGTGCTGGGATTCTGGGTGTGCATGACCACACCTGGCTCAAAAAATATATTCACTTTACTAAATAAAATCTATTAAATGATAGAATAATTACACAATAATTCACTCTCAGAAATTCAGAAGAAACTCATCTATTTAATAAATTAGCCAGTGAAGGGATAACCAACTACACCTTCCAAGATATATTATTTCTGAATAAGTTCCCAATAATGGGTGATACGCAGTACCAATGTGAGAAGTTTAGAGGTTTTTCTTAGCAGAGGGGCGGGGTCTTCACTATGTAAACATCCTGAGCCTGTGCAAGAGGAGGGCAGGGAGAGGATGCAGGTGTAAAGGACCGACCCGACATCAGGCAGCCTGCATACAAGGGAGCTAAGTGGCTTGTTGTCCCCCTTTGCTATTGTGGCTTTTGCTGACTTCCACCATGAGCTGCTGCCTCCGCCGCACCACCCTGCCCTGGAGCCAACTGATCATGGACTGAAATCTCTACAGGCTATGAGCTAAAGAACCCTTTCCCTCGTTACTTTTGAACAGCAGGTATTCTGTCCCAGAAACCAGGGAAAAAAAACCAAGACACTTCCTAACTGGGAACTACACCAGGACAGTAAGTACATCACCAAGCGTGGTCTTCCCAAGAAGCTACACAGTCCGATGAGTGGAAAACCTCAACAGCAGCACGCATCCATTCAGTCAAATCTCTGTGCCACGGGACAATTTCTATTCTTCTGATACCTGACTCCCCGCCAGCTATTCTCCACAGGCCGTGAGCACGGGTGTCAAGCTCGTGCTCCACACCTGGCAGCACGCACTGCTGGCTATCGTGCCGTCTTCCTAACCACTTCCTCTTAGGTGGATCTAACACATCTACCCATTCCTAATTCTTGCACTGTCTCTTCCTTGATAATTAAAACACGAGGAACTGGCCATTAATCTGGTCTAGACAATAGCAAGGGCTAGAAGGGCAGGACTGTTCTAGATCTGCCTTGGAATATAATCTTGGTTAAAAACCAATACCCCCCCCCAACAATACAAAAGTAGAACACAGAAAGAGTGAAAAATAAGCCAGTATAAACTTATTCTCATTCTAACCACATATTACTTTAGTAAAGACACGGGTCAGATATACACATACTCATGAAGTTTTAAGTATTTAAGAGTAATATTAAAAACAGATTTTAGGGGACCTGCGCCTTAGCTCAGTTCTTTAAGTGGCTGCTTCAACAAAGCAGTCAGGCTCAGGTTGCTGTGGTTCGATCCCTACAACTCAAGCCAGCCAAACCTGCCTTGAAGGCATTCGGAGCCAAAAAAAAAAAAAAAATCCTTATAAAAACAGATTTAAAAAAAAGATTCAACAATAAACAATAGCAAACGACATTGGTTTTCTTCTTTATGAAATATTCATTTTCAGATGGTAGAAGTTGCTTACAAACCTGACATGGTTCCAACTCCAATGACGAGACATTCCACAAGTGCATCCAGGGTGAATGTGGGCCCTAAGATGGCCATTCCACGAGCAATGTTTTCCCTGACTTCATCCTAAAACGCAGAGGATACACAGCAGTAAGGGCGAAGTACAGGCAACTTATAAAAATCCTTGACAGCCGTGGCTGACGGTGCAGGCCTGCAACCCCACACTCTGGAGTGGTGAGGCAGGAGGGTCTCGCCTAGGCAATTTCACAACTGAGACCAGGTCTCGAAGCAAAACCTAACGCTGTGTGTGGTGAGTACACCTACAATCTCAGAACTACGGCAGGAGTATCGCAAGGTACAGCTTGCTGCAAAGGCCGAGTTCAGTGCAGAGGAGTCCCCAAAACCAGAGGACAGTGTGTGTATCTTAGGGCTCAGCACTAGAATCTAATTTACTATTCAAATAATAAAATATACAATATGATGAAACTGACATGTTTAAGACACAAAGCATAGAGGATCAAACAAAGCAGATACACAGAGCAGTCGACTTCCCTTACAAATGAATGACACAACTAGGGAACGTTACTTTGCTACAGGGCACTAACCCCTGCCATTTAAATACTACACAATTAAACCTTACAACATTTTATATTTTGGCTATCTTTGATAGAAGTTCTTAGTTGCAATTTTTATTAGACTGTGTTATAAAATCTGTGTCACTGCCTTGACTACATGCTCAGTGACCATAAACGTTATCAAATATATAAACACGTCAGAATTATGCACATTTTTTTCTTCCTGTCCTGGAAATCAGACCGAGGTGTTTATGCATGTCGGGGAAACGGCCTACAACGGAGCTACGTCTCTAGCTCCACACAAGGTATTCCGTATTCAAGATCCTCTGATGCAAAATCGCTGAATAATGTTACATTTTGAAAAGTGACTGATGAACATCCAGATGAAACATAACAGAATATCAGTGTTAATGAAATGGGTTAAAAATGAATCTAGCCCGAGGCTTACACCTTATTAAATACTATTCCGCTCTCTGTGTTTTACTAGGTAGATACTCTCAGTATCCAAAAGTCATTTCACTATCATTTCTGAAAACTCTGAAAAACAGAAAAAGAGGAATACTCAAAAATTCCAGTCAGGTGGAATTACACCTGAGATAAGAAGGAGTATTCCTAGGGTACTGAAGCAGACCGCAGCTTAGGACTTGAGAATTTCATTTTGGGCAATCCCTGAATCTTGGGTTATGAAGAAACTATTAATGACTCCCCTACTGATGTAAATAAACTGGATAAAGGAACAGTATTTACACTATTGACATCAAACAAAGTAGCACTCACCTGTGAATTCGAACTTAGGGCGAACTTGGCTAATGCGCTGGCCCTGGAGAGGTCAATCAAAAGCAGGAAAAAGGGCAGTGCTTCACTGGAAACAAAGGAGATGGTCAGGTACATTTACCAGGGGAAAGAAAACACTTTTTTTTTTTTTTTTTTTTGCGGAACCAGGGATTGAACTCAGGGTCTTGTGCTTGCCAGGGAAGCGCTTATTCTACTGAGCTATCTCCCCAGTCCCAGCAAACACATCTTAAAAGTCCCTTCTAAAATAAAACTTTCGCACATACTCTGTATGATCTTGTCCTGTTTGTTAAAAAACTTTCCATGTTTAAATGCATGTTTCAGTTTGGTAACTTTACAGGAAAAATGTACTTGGTAAAAGAAATCTTGAATTATCACTGGCAAAAATGTAAAACATACAAAACTCTTATTCATTCATCTACACATGTAGAAGATGAACAGCCAACTTCCTGGAGAGTGAACTATCAACAGCAACTAAAGACCGCCCTGAAATGCAAGGAACTTAAAAGGAAGAACATTAAGCCACTCGTAGAAACACATCCAAAGGAATAACTGAATAGAACAAAAAATAGGCATAAAGATAGTCATCACTGTTACTAATGAAGAAAACTATCCATACTACAAAATACTCGTAGAGAATTGCCAACAATTTAGTCAACATTATGGGAACAGAAAGATACTGATCAACTATGAATCAGACATAAAGAAATTATAAAAGTATACCTATGCAGTATGATCTCAGAAAATTTAAGTGTAAAGTAAGCTGGAAAGACTACAGATCAAAACATTTTGCTATTAAAACTAATTTAAAATATTACATTAAAAAATTCCCTATTATTTCCTCAACATTTGAAAATGTTGTATATTACCTTTCTATCATAAAGAAGAGTGGCTGAGGGTGTAGCTCAGTGATAGCACACGCACTTAGCATAAAGAATAAAAGTTCTTAAAAATATATTTTTAAAAGAAAGTAAGTACAGGGTTGGGGAGATAGCTCAGTGGCTCAAGCACCTGCCTGGTAAGTGTAAGGTCATGAGTTCAATTACTGGTTGGTACCAAAAAAAAAAAAAGGAAAATACATTTAGATATTAAATACTTACTTTAAACCTGTCAATTCTTTATCTAAGAAGTGAATGACAACCGTACTGAATACAAAACTTGAGAAGATTGTAAAAAGGCCAGCAATACCTGAAATGAAAAAGTTCAACAATGAAAAATCTTTACCCTTTATTAAAAAAAAAATAAGACTTTAGTCATATAAGAATCTGAGATTAAACATACAAACTTGTACAAATCTAGTATTTTTCTCCAGATTACTCAGATCTCAAATTTTAGAAAGTGTAATTTCTCCATAATGAGAAAAGAAACCACTGACCACATCTAACACGTTCTCGGCAACACACATATTTCCAGACTCATCATTTGAACAAACAGGTTATTTCCACAGCAAATTGAAAATAGAATGGTACACAAAGAATGTAAGTAGATGAAAGCATTACCCAAAATATATTTAGATCCAAGTTGACGTAAATTCTGGAACTGGAAGTAAATATACAGGATCGCTATGCATCGTGTTATGGTTAGAATGATGATGTCACTGCTCAGAACATCCTATTGAGAAAGAGAAAGCTCTCAATAGCTCTGACTTTTAGAACAGGCGATCAAAAATAAGAACTTTTATTTTGTGTCATTAGTTTAAATATTAAGAATATAAGTGTAAGCACAATCTATATCAAACAAATTAAGACACTATCATAATTTTTTCATTGAAGTCAATTACAAAAGCTGTATTTCTCAAATAAAGTTATTTCTAAGAAGTACTTCTCAAAAGTATTTCCAGTACATTCCATACCATGCAAACAGATGGAAATCTACGGTAAGCTCATGAATATTAAAATAAAAGCTATGGTTTTTCATATAGTCTCTAAAAGGAGAATCTTTAGAAATAGAAATGTTAACTTTACTCACCTCTTTAAATTTTGGACATTCGTAATTCCAGCCACAGACCTTGTTGTCACCAGTGAACATATTCATGGACATCATGCAGATGGTCAGTGTAACTGTCCCCACGATGACTTCCCAGGGGTGGGAGGCCACAAAGAGGCCGTGCATGCGGAAGAGTCGGGACAGCATCACGGCAGCAGAGCCCGCGGGTCCTGGAGGAATATCCAGTGTGAACGCTGTGCCCAGCTCGCTCACGGAGCTTTAAAGAAAAATGTTTAGGGAAAACCGTGCTATATCTCAGTCCTGCTTTGAACAGTGTCCAGTCCTTGACCAGTTGATAGTATTCTTTATAATTTTGGGAAATTATAAAAGTAATTTAAAGACAAAAGTAATTTAAAGACTGTCATTACTTCCTTACTCAAACCCTTAAATCTTTCGCTTTTCACATTTCTTATAGATTTATGAATCCAAACATTTTCAATAAACCAAATAAATACCTCACTCATTTCAGGGCCAAGGAGGGAAACAAAACTGAAAACAAGAAGTGAGAAACAAGCACTCAGATATCCCAACAACCTGGCCATGAAACACCTTCACCACCCCATTCTGCTTACCAAAAGGTAAATACCAAAGAATCTACTGGCCAAGTGCCCTGTAACTCTGGTAATGTATTAGCTCCCCTAGGGCAGGAACCCACTACACTGTTTCATTCTATTAAACATACTGAATAGTTACTTGCAAAATGAGGCCTAATCAACCTTCCTAAAGTTGCTGTTACCAGAGAAAAGTCCTTCCTATTCTACCAGCCTTTCTACAACATAGAAAGGGGCAAGAATTACGCTGTGATGGCTGCTTTGCTTCTAGAATCATCCATGATAGGGCAGGAAGACCAATGGAAAAGCACTGGTTGAGAAACAAACCTCAACTTTCAAAACTAACTAAAACAACGCATTAGAAAAGGCTGGATGAAGCATATGTCTGCAACATTCAAAGATTCCCAACAGAACATGGGAAAAAATTCTATCTAATGACTACCACAATTATAGATCTCCATGTTTGCTGACTAAATAATAATCTGATATTCTGAGTTTGAAAAAAACTCTTACATAGCCATTGGTGTCTACAAAAAACTTACAAGTCTTAAGATTAAATAAAGTGTAGGCCAGGGTGATAGCTCAGCAGTCTAAGCACCTGCTCGGCAAACGCAAGGACCTGGAGTCAATCTCCAGCCATTGAAACACGCTGTGGTAGCAACCGCCTGTAACCCGGCATTGGGGAGGCTAGGACTGGAGGAACACTATGATAGTGAGACCTTGTACCAAATAAATAAATAAATCTTTAAAAAAAAAAGATTAAGGTGTAAAACGAATGCATATGATAAAGCATATTAACTATCCATAACATCAATTAATGATAGTTACTTTAGCAAAAATTCAAACAAACTTCATGTTCACCAAAACTGTTACTCATCTATTACAGACAGAAAGTTCAAGGATAAGTAAGTTTAAAAAGAAGCACAATCTGTCTAAATGGCTAGGAAATAAAAAAGGAGCCTTTAGGACCAAATCTTCTCACCTAGCAACACCACTGTATCACTCCATGTTCCCTACATTTCACCTACGCCATGTCACCAGCTAATCAATGATTTTTAAACTGTAAGTCTCAATTCTTCACTGGATTGATCAAACCATAAGATTAGTTTTGTGGGCTGTGGAGACGGCTTGGTAGTCTAAGCCCCTGCCTAGGCAAGCATAATGATCTGGATTTGATCTCCGGTACCACATGGTATCACATGTCTGTGCTGGCCCCGGCCCTGCCCCAGGTGCATCAAGCCACCAAGACCATGGATGGTTGTGCACACCTGTAATCCTAACGCTGGGGAGGCTGAGACAGGAGGATCACTACATCCAAGCTACATAGCAAGACCCTGTACTAAATACATAAAAAATTAATAAGTAATTAAAGTGTTGTTTGTAAGAACAATTTTTTTTTTTTTTTTTTTTTTTTTTTTTGTATTTTAGGGAAGGGTCTTCAGGGTGTGCAGGGTCTCAATACTAGATCGGACTCACAGTGATCTGCCTGTTTACAGTCTCCCAAGAGCTGGGATTATAGGCTTGCACCACCACACCCAGTCTCAAGAACAATCTTTTAAAAATAAAATAGAAAATAACATAAAATAACCTGGATGAGATACATGGAACAGTATCCATGTATCTCTTGAAAGTTCACAAAACTGTATTTCATTTTGCTTTAAATTTTTGAGTTTTGGTTTTCTGAAAGGATCTCATTGCTGTGTATTCAAACTAGCCTCAAATTCATGGCGACGCTCTTGCCTTAGCCTCCCAAGTTCTGGGACTACAGGTGTGGAGCATCACATTAACTTCCAGCATACCATGCACCTGTTTATGCTTACTAATGTTTTTCTACCTTCCAACCTGAATCTGATTTATGATTTCACCTTCCAGCATCTTGCACTCACATTCAGCACTGTTCAACAAATTGGAAAGGAACAAAATGTTGTATTTAACTCATAGGAACTTGGATTTAAAGTACTGGAAAGCTCTGAACATACCTTAGATTTGATTCACTTGATTATAACTGAAAGCTTCATGAGAAGCTGAATGTTCATGATTTCTACTGCTTAACTTTTTTGTTACATTTAAAAAAAAAACAAGGGGCTGAAGAGATAGCTCAACAGTCTAAGGGCCTGCCTGGCAAGCGCAAGGACCTGGGTTCAATCCTGAGTGTTGCATGCTGTGGTGCCGTGCCAGCCACCGAAACCAGGCATGGTGGCACACACCTATAATCCTAGCCCTGGGGAGGGCTCACTACAAGTCCAAGCTGCTGCATAGGGAAACACTATACCAAATAAACAAATAAGTAATTTTTAAAGTAAATATATAAATAAAAAACAAGAAGTCCTTAAAAAGGACCACCTGTACCAATGTTCCAGCAAGTAAATTAAGTAGTTGCAAAACTAACTTTGAGAATTATTTCTAAATTCCCACACCAAAAACCTCTCCTTCAACTTAGATTCTTCCAAACTGACTCAGTATTATTCATCGCTATTAAATTATTGCAGTTGTATTAAACTTCTAATTGGTACGAGGAAGGAATCCCAATTTGATTACAAGTCCCACACCTGTAATCCAGCACTCAAAAGCTGAGCCAGGAGGATCGCTCTGAGTTTCCTGTTAACTGCTGGGGCCACATAGTGAGCTCAAGGCTAGCCTGAAACTCATAGCCAGACGGACCCCTTCTCAAAAAACAAAACAAGAAAGAAAGGGTTTTTGCAACCCGTAATTACACATTAGGCATATTCTATTTTCTCTCAAAGAGATTTCCTGGTAGCACTATAAATGCTGCAACATTTTTTCCTAGGTATAAAGGTATCTTTTCAACACTGTAGGAGGAAAAAAAAATTCACACAAGATCCTGTGACCCATGCTAAACAGAGAACTCCACCTATTTGGAAATAACTGAGCAGCTGTAGAAAGGTGTGTAAAAAGTAACCATCATTAAAAATATCTCATTGGCCATGAGCATCCTCCCCACTTCCCTGTGATTATGCAAAGCTTTTGCACGCATGGCAATCTTCTACCTTCAGCAGTTGCGAGGGACACTAGCAGCTGCAGGCCAGCTCCTATAAATGCAATAGACAGCACTTACACCATGCTACAGTAAGAGTAACTTTTACTAGACAAAATACAAGGGACTAAAGCAACAGATACCTTGCTTATTTAGAATAAAATACGCCACAAACATTTCACAAGGTTTTTTTTAAGGTATGGAGACTTTAAATTCATTTGAATCTTCAAAACTCTATAATCCAATCTGCCAAGCCCACTTAACACAACCAACAGCAGAAGGATACTTTATCATAACTCATGAATCCTTCCTCCCATTCCGCATTCTTGTGTTACACATTCTGGTATTTCATTACTCAATATCTTACACTGTCCTCAACTCTGTGTGTACCTATCTATAGTCTCTGAAGGCAAGAGCCATGTTATATTCTGTGATCACTTTTAACTCCAATGTGATCTAGCAGACAGCTGCTCAAACTACCATTCCACAAAACCTTTACCTGGTACTGGAAAGCAGGAAGCCTGCTCTATCTCTCCATCTAGTTCTATTACATGTTATTACCTCTTCATTCACTTGAGAAGCTAGAGCTCCAATTTTCTCTGACAAAGTACTAAATATGACTATGAAAACTGCTATTTGTGTAGGCAAAAAAAAAAAAAAAAAGACTAAATTTCAAATATGGGCAGCTTCACCTGGATTAACCAAAGTCTAACAGATGCTGACTCCATAATTTCACTATTTGTCCAGTCTAGACCATGAGAGAATAAAGAATGCCTGCATGCTATGCACTCCCACAATAGCTTTCCTGTGAATACTGTAATGTATACATATTTTAATCTTCATGTTACTAATTCCCATTTGCTCTTACTGCCAAGTTTATCATAAATTCTAAGAAAGCTACTACAAAAATCAGTCTATCCACAAAGAACTCTCCAGACCTTTGCTTCAGAACCTCTAAGTCTTACACTTCATGGAGAAGAAAACGAAGTTCTCAAGTGAAAAAACACAGACACTACTTCTTTGGGAGACACAGAAATTGTACACAATTACTTAGTATGGGCCAGAAATAAACGTTTCTGATGACTCTGCAGAACTAAGTCCATGGATGCACATCCTCAAATACTGAAGTATTAGTATGACTGCTTGAGATGGTGGACATTGACATGCGCCTACAATCTTAGCACTTGGGAAGCTGAGGCAAGCGGATCGCCAGGAGTTCCGAGGAACCCGGGCTGCGTAGTGAGTTCAAGCCCAGTCTGAGCTAAGTAGTGAGATCCTATCTCCAAAAAAAAAAAAAAAAAAAAAAAAAAA